TGCTAATTCATTTATATGAAATTTAAATACAATGTACATTTAATTTTCATAGAAATTTTTTTAGTACGTTTTGTGACAAAAAGTATCAAAACATGTTAATATTACTTTACATATCCTTAATCTTCTGATAGAGATAATCATTAAAATTACAGGTACTGTCAACAAGCTGGCTTTACAGAAGAAGAAATGGATATTATTTGTCAGCCATTGGTGGCTGCCATGCGTCGTTCATGGCTACAATTAGTATTTCGGGTGACATTAATTTTGATCGTGCTTGGAACCATAGCTTGTTTGGCCGCTCAGCTGGATTTTGTTGGAGCACACTTCTCTGCTATTGGGAGATTAATGATTATTAAATTTCTGCCACTATGGAATTGGCAGCCTTTATACTATGAAAGCTGTATGAGCAATAATCCATTCTATAATGACTATACCATTACCGAAGAAGATTGTGTGGTATGGTATTGACCTTTTTCTTCTTATATAATTTTATTTCTTCATGTAATTCAATAACATAATAAGAGCATTACTACTTATTTTACATTACATATTTAGTGTCTTTGTACAAGTGTTTAAATATGAATCATGACAATTTCTCCATTCTAAAAGTAAGGAGTTTTCATATCACATTTTCTTACATTAAATTTTTTATAGTTTGTTCAAAAGAGTATACATTAGCTGTGAAAAATTTAAGTCGTTGGGTTTAAATATTGTGTTGAATTAATTTTTTTACACTTGGATGAGTTAACTTTAGAAAAATTTATATTTATTAAACAACAAAATTAATGTACAATTTTGTCACCATTAAGATTTACGAAAAATCATAATATACTATTGTATTTAACTTAATTTTTTTGTTAAGACAAATGTTTTTGAATTTATCTCATTCAACTGTAAAAAATTAACTCAACAATCCAATAATAATATTTAAGTAACTTTTATTGTGCAGACATGTGAAGCATTAGAAACAATTGATCGCCTATCGGATGTGCGTTTTCGACAATTGGTTGACAATTATCTCAGTCGTGATGCTCCTGCTATCATTACCGACGCAATGGATTCCTGGACAGTTATGAACACCGACTATTTTTGGTTTGACAATATCACTCATGTGAGTAAAATGATCATTTGATAATATCACTCATCTGATTTAGTTAACAGTTAGTAAGAGTATAGGATTTGGGGAGGTAGGTGTATAAAAAAATAAAAGCAACTGACACTCTGAGATAGAATGCAAAAGTCTTATGCAGTTTTTTTCTGCAGAGTATAATGGCTATCAGAGATGTATAGTCAAATTAAGTGATTACCAAATATATATGGACTATAAATATTGAATAAAATCACAAGATATGAATGTATCTAAATTTTAGGAATCCTAATAGAATGTTATTTTCTTGATATTTTGTAAAAGTCGTTGAAGAGAAAATATTGGAATACCAAAGTATTTGGACACCCTTGTTATATATTATATGAGATCTTATAAGTCTTAATTTTTAAAGATTTTTTTGATATCTCGGATAGAATACAACACTAGTCTAAAGGTCAAATTAATAATTTTGAAATGTACATTTATTAGAAATACATAAAGAAATTCACAGAAAAATGGTATTGAAGGCTAGGAACAGAAATAACATCTTCGAACTATTGTAATGGGAAGTGCTTTTGGACATATTCCTTACACTTGAACATTTACATGTCAATTTTCAAAATCTTCTTGTTTACCTTTTATTTAATTGCAGTTTTTTCGTAATTCATGGTCAATTTTGAACTTCAGCCACTTTCAAATCCTATGCTTGTAACTTGGACATTATGCACTGTCTGTATACGCGGTACGTGTAACGAAATGACGAAATGTCATAATTTGAATAACAATTTAATTCCCATTAATTTTTATAATCAATTTGAATAATCAAACTTATATATTTTTCTTGTTTCTTTCATAGCTCTATTTGGAAAACGAGCGTTTAATGGAAACAGTACCTTGCGCTCTGACTTCAAATTTGCGGACGGGTTCGTCCGATTTGGCAGCCTTTTTACGTCGAGTGCATTCTCCTGAAGTGGCCAAGTGGTTTGTGCATTGGCAGAACTGCGACATCAATGCCGTAAAGGTTCTTCGAAAGTATTATCAAAGGCCCTACTTTCTGTCCAGTACTGTTTCGCCGGCTCATTTCAATTGGGTATTAATGTCTTCTGATTATAACAGTCCGAGTTATAAAAAGGTAGAGCTGGATTCAGGTCTCATAGCCCTTGCGCAATTACGAGGTGCTACGCAGCTCAGATTAACTCCAATTAATCCATGTAATAGTTCGTGTTCCGAACTGATTGCAGACCTTCATCAGGGCGAAATGTGTAAGTTAATCTCAACTAGTTTGAACAACGTGTTAGATTTTTTATAATTTTTACACCGAAGTAATGGAACTTGAAATTGGTTGCAGTGGTTTTTACGAATTTAATGTGGACTTTGGAATACGCTCCAATGAGGGGTCTTGACAACATAGCCATTCTCACGGAAACCGTATGGGAGAACACCTAAACAAAAACGACATATTAAAAGTTTTTGACATCGGTTTGCTGCTAGTGACATAATGATTACATATAAATGCAAAACCGTCTTAGTATGAAAGAAATACACCATTTCATTGTCTCCAGAAATTGTTCAATGTGTTGTTATTTCATAAACATTCTATATTCCCGAATAATGTCGCAGTCGCAACTGAAAGGACGCCTTTGTAATTTGTACATTACAGTCTATGGCATAAATGAACTGATATTAGTCAATCGAGCAATGGTATAAAATAAATGCCTTTGCGTGTAAGAAAAACGTCTAATGTGTATATACCAGAAATAACAAGAAACAAGATTCTCTTTTTATTAAGTAATCATTTATAATTTACATTGCATTCCTTTGTCCGGTTTTCCATTGGATCAACTGGAATCGATCGATACTTGCCGATTCGTAGAAAAAAGAAAGTGCAAGATTACTCGAGAGGAGAAACGTAGCTGGCGAATTTGGCATGCTCCATCCACGGGCTAATACTACGTTTTGGTTTGATCGCCTTTTCGCGCGACAGCCTTCATAGTTGCTGCGGAGAAGTGACAATTTCGCGACTAGCTAACACCGTTCTGAAAGGGTTCAGAGGTTACCTAAGATAATTATTGTTATCATTTTACTCCTTTAAATCCTACCACACTCCATTGTTTCCGTTTTGCTGTAAAACGTTATCGTAAAGCGGCTTCAACTTTCGCTAATGAACGCGCAGACAAGATTCGAAGGGTTTGTCGTTCGTCAAGTCCACGTTACATCGAGAATGCATATCGAGACTTTCAGGCAGTTGGCAAGCGATTCGGGCAGTATTTCTGAATTCCCTGAATTCTAAACGAGATCTTCGGACATTCTGATAATTTACAATCGAAATTACTTTAAACCACATGGACTCAAATGAAATTATGTACAACAATTCAGTCAACTTCCTCAATTAATCTTTAATCGGACATACACGTGTAGACCACATTTTGAACGATTTCTGAAATATTGCAACGTCTCTGTTATGTTTTATGAAATCTGCTTTAACTTCGTGTTTCGAGTTGGTTATGTCGACAATTTAACGAGTGATAAACCCCACGAGGAAAACCGCCGGCGTCGGATGCTACGACCGTGTACAGGACCTCTAATCTAATGACAACCTAAGCTAAGAGTATCTTAAAGCTAAGAGCTCACTGTTCGCGTACCAAATGTCTTAGTGAGACCTGGGAAAGTCGAAGCGAGGGTAGTCACGATTTACAGTCTTTGGCGACTGAAATGCAGGAGTCGATATATCAACGATATCCTCCCGTGCCTGATTCACCTTTTTTCATTTGTCACCACCGTTATCACCACCGATTATACATTCCTGTGCACTGTCGTTACGCGATTTTTTTTTTCTTCATTATTTGTCTCGCAATCCTCACTGTTCGTAATTTTTCTTTTCTTCATTCACCTCCGTCCTTTTCTCGTCCTCTCGCGATACATGTAGCTCATTGAAATGTACCCACTTTCATTGTTTTGTTCCTTTCACGTTCCAACGACTGAAATTCGCAATGTCCTAGTGACGTTTACAAAATGACTGACAACGGTCTGCTAGCTTTCCTTATTAAATCAAATTGTGTGTTCGAATATAGGGTAATTGAACAATTTAAACGTCAAGATTAAGCACATTGTAATTTAATAGTTGTTTATAGGGAATGTAATAAAAATGTCTCTATTCATATTACGAATACCAGTAATATGAGCTTTGCAGCCGGGTTGTCTCCTAGGACTTATTATACTTATTAAAAGCATCATTAGAGGTTTGTCTCACATCAAAAGTGCAAATCATGATTCCATCAGTTTCACTTCCTGCAACTGTTTTCTTGCCTTAATAACTGGACCGATTTTTCACGAATATGACGTGTATTTAGAAAGGATGTCTATATATCTTTACATATTTTCTAAAAAACGAGTCATTGCGGTACGACTTTGTACCAAAAGCGTATAATTAAGTTGCCGTCTAACACAAGTATTATGAATTGCGTCATATATCGCTATTTGAAGATGCTCGGACCGAGCTTAAATTAAAAATTATAATTGGTTAATCGATATCGCGTATCTCAGGACATCCACGAGGATTCAAGTTTTTTCCAGAAAATGTTTGCTTAGATCGCATGATATCTACTTCATCGAGAGATTGGTATTGTTGACGAGACAGCATTGGTTAACGACATTGACTAAAACTTTGGTTATTAGAAAAGTCGCTTTCGTATCACGAATCTCTTCTCTGTTAACAGAACCGACGAAAAGGAATTGCAAACTACAGATTAAATTTACAAACTCGAAGGATTAAAACATTCTTCTCTCTTGTCTATAAGAATTCAATTATCTTAAACAATAAGTGAACGAGAGACGAAAGTGAATACCCTTGAGTAATAGCCGGGTGTTAGAACTTTCTAGTCTCCTGTAATCACGATTGAAAAATTACAATAATACCTACGCTTACATTGCTGCATACCTTGTTTACACTAAGGAAACGTAACGTATGCATCGAAAACATACGGGTATATGATATGATAAACTTTTTATGTAACGAATACTTGCATCAACAATAAGCACGAGCTTATTGACGGATCCTAGTACTGTCGGTACACAGCTGTGAAGCAGTACAATAATGAAACATTGCATGTAATTAGCAGTTAATTAACATTATAGATTGCCTTCAAATTATTTTATTAAGGAACTGCTAATTAGATAGAAAGTCACATTAATGTGTATTCTGTTAATTCTGGAAACGCGTTTACATTTATGCCGTGCCTTTCCAACTGTTATATCTCGCTTACTGACGGTGAATAGAGTAAATACAAGAGAGATGCTCCTTCGAATCAAGAATCGTTACAAGAAATTATTTTGCCGTACAAGAATATTTCTATCATATGGCATCTTTGCATTAATTTTCACTCTTTATATGTACTAAAGCATAACCAAGGAACTTATTTTTATTTTAAAATAAAAGCAAAATGTAAATAGGCTTTTCCTGCCTTCTAAATCCTGCTGCAGTAATATTACATAGATATAAACAAGTATTCTACCATACTTGCTTATATTTATCGTCGGCGTTACTGTTGGTATAGTCAATCAGAATGAACACCCGTGTATTCTACATGTAAATTTAAAGTACTGGAATATTTTTATGAATTGATAAGACGAATAATTCAATATTTAGAATATTTGGTCAAAGTCTATCTATCGAAAAATACAGTAACACGGATTAACACGTATCTCATGAGTGTCGATGTGGAGCATCGCTCGAATTTACTCTCTACTTATCAGAATTGGAAAATACCTTGAGTCGCAATATAATTCTTTAATAACACAAATTTCTCGTCACATGTTGATTGACATCCAATACTTTCAACATGTTGCATGTAAATGGTATGGAGTTATTAAAGAAAAGTCAAGACGTTTAAGTACTTACTACGCATGTCCTCATTATGGTAAACTTAACACATTAAATCTTCATTAAAAAATGGCGTCCATGATCAGCTTGTTGTTGTTACAATCTTACTTATTTCTGCAAGTATAATATATGTTTCGTTTCTGTATAGCACATATTAGTGCAACTCGATTGGGAAGAGGGAGAAGAAGATAAAGAAAGTCATATCGAACGTGGGTTTCTGCCATTTCCTTCGCCCTACATGCGAACAGTTCAAAGTTAATAACAGTAGTAATAGTGACGTTAGTGACAACCTATTGTTATATCATACACGTACCGTTTGTTGTCCGAACGGACAAGTTATGATTGCGCACTCGGCCGGTTTTTGCTCGTATCTTGATTTTTAACTACATATTTTTTTTTTTAATTAATGATGCGCTCACAAGTTCTCTATAAAGTGAGAAGAACGGTTTGAATGTTGATTTGCGACAGTAATGGTCAATCAGACATTCTACATATGTAACTCCGGGACATAAGGCGTTTTCTCGAATTTATTGTAGCCACAGACCGGATTAATCGGTTCAACTCTCTTTTCAATCAATAGCGACCTCTTGGTATGAACTAATCGGGTTGCGAAAAATCGCCTGTAATGTCTCGCGAATTCACGAGCAAAATCCGTTCGACTGTATCGTACTTATTTTTACATACTCACATATCCACTTACAAATATTTACAAAGGTATCGATGTACATGCAATTTTACGTACGTAAAACAGCGCGGCGCAATTCATGTGGCTGGGGGAATCACGGCGGCAAGCAGCTACTGTTGATGTAACAAATTTATATAGTAACAATGTGAGTTGTAACGCGTGGGAAATGAATCACAGAGTTACAGGATCTTGCAAAACACGAAATGGAATACCCCCCTTATGAAACGCGACATTAATTCCGTCTTATTGTACCTTACGCTCTCACATTTTTTGGCTACAACACTCCTTGGCTCTCCTTTAACGTAGCGATACTGTTTATCGTAATTCTTACTTTCGTTTTCGTAGTCGAAACAGCAATGAAGTTTGCTCTCAAAGCGGTATGGAAACTATTCAGACATTTTACGGTTAAATAATGATCGGTAACGAATTAATAAATATTAGCTGAATCAATTTCCAAATATTTCAGTGACATTTTAAGAATGTAAAAGATAATGCAAACTGTTAAGGAACCAAATCATGAGTAACGAAATTGATAAGAGTTCGCTGGACATTTTTTCGATCACAATTCAGGTCACTCCGGAAGAATTTTAGTGTTAGATATTATATCGCGTCGTACTTAAAAGTGCAGCAAGGTGACATATAGCATAACAATAAAAAGAAAAACGTTCAACATAATTATTCTCATTTTTGGCACAATATTTCTGAAACCAAAAACTAGGTTGAATTTTTGTATAATGACAGAAATGCGTGAAACGACAGGACACCGTTCACAGAACTTAAACTCGAACGTATATCAGAAATCCTAATCATTGAATACATTTTTTTTTTATAAATGCCTGTTTTAATATCACTATGTACTTGATGTTTTCAACAGAGCTCAGTTAACGTCACTGGTAGGTTCAAATCAACCCCCAGAATTAATATAATTTCGTTTGCACAACACAATATGGCCAAAATAAATTTGCTACCAGCTCTGTTCGCGTTACTTTCTGCAATTCACAAGAGATCGAAGCATATCGCACAGTTGCGTCTGCGACTCAGCGGCGACTACGACAACGAAGTCTTAACGTACAATTTCTTACGAGTGGCAACACGAGCAACACGAGCAACAGAGTCAGTGCATTCTTAGAGCCCTTTAAAAATCGCTAAAAGCAAGTCAACGATCTCTTCTCTGTCGATCCACCGCTTAATGTCGTCGCTCGAGTGAAGCAGCACTTACAACCTGCATTCACTCCGCACGTGTTTCGGGCAAACGGACAAAAAACCAAGATGGTGGCTACAAATCGGTGATCGAGGAGGGCCTGCTATAAATCGGAACCGAAATTGTTCTGCTTGACCTCAGTTATCCGCGTTGGATTGCGTTTACATCCTCGACGCTTTTTGTTCCTGCCTTGTACTTAAAGATTAAAACTCCCTCGCCCCTGCCTCTCTTTTTATACACACATAACATTCGCACTTCCCTCGTAGCGAAAGAAAAATAAAATCAGGCCACTCTGTACAAAATGCGATACAAGTAGCGATGTAACAACAATTTGCTATAGTTAAATATATTATATATATATATGTATATGCATATGTATATATATTTATATATTTATAGGTACGTGTTTTAGCGTCTGTGTATGTACGTGCACGCGCGCATTCGCGTCCATCGAGTCGTATATGCACGTAATATGTATATCGCACGCGTCCCCCGCGCACCGTCGTCGTCTCGCGCTAACGCGTTTATCGGTCCCTTGCCGGTAGCCATGTTTATTTTTATCGTATTATCATGACGCCATCGATCAATACTAATGGTAGTAGATAATTAATTAATCGATTAATGGATGAAGTATTTTACGATGTAAGTGGTATGCACGTCCCTTTGGAGGATTCGTACGTTTTAACGCGCGTATACACGTAGACAGCTGGCGAACTATGGCGGGCGGCTCCGGAACGTAGCGAGATCGGCCGCGCCGCGGTCGAGCCGGAGCCAGCCGGAACTGCCGAGCGCGACGCCGGAAGCTTAAGCGATCCTATTTCCGTCTTGCGTTCGCGTCCTTCGGAAACAATTCCTGGATTCGTCGACCCTACTCTCGAGAACACGGAATAACCGGATGAACTTTCTCCGGATGAACCTTGACACGCAGCCATCTTGACCCGCGAGAAGTGACGGCGTGGTTTCCTAGACTTTACTTCGTGGATGGCGAATGTTCAACATGGATTGCGGAACGAATCTAACCGATCACGGCAATTTCGCTCGAGATCAAGTATTCGCGCGCAGAAGAAAGAAAGTGTCTCCTCTTGAAAGGAAACATGTCGACGGATATCAATTTCGCTACAACCAAACGGTTATTATCGGGTAAAAAAAAAATGAGTTCGTTGAACAAAATCGTTTGATTGGCTCTATTTGGTTCACTCCAGAAAATGTTTTGGTCAAGTCAACTGAATTTTATTCCACTTGATCAAACTCGCTGCTTCGATCAGCTAAAGTGTTTTGATTTAATCGTATTGTTAATTTTAGAAAATATCTTTGTAAATACACTAAATATTTCGGTTGAACGTACCAAATTACTTTAATATTTGGCGTGGTCTACCACAATATTTGATGCGATCACTCAGAAGTTACTAACCAAAGAATATTGTCATCTCAACCAAATATTTGGTCGTTTATATAATAATCATATTCCATGATTAAATCAACAAGAATTTTATTGATTCAACCAAGTACTCTTTTGCGTGATTATAGGCATAGTATTTAATGACTTTAATTTAATGTTTTAACATTATGATTGTTTTGAAGTTCGAGTTGGTTACGCAGCCCAAATGATAACGAATCGAAACCATTAACAAAACCGGTGAAGGTTGAACATGCGGCACAATTTCGATTTCGCCTTCCACTTTATCGTTCGTTCCACGAGACAGCACCCTGACGTCGAAAGAAAAGTGAGAGTGAGAAGGTGTAGAGGGAGAAGAGTGGCAGTAATCTCTCGAATAAAAGAATTGCTTACAGAACTACGAATCGAATCATTAAGGTTGAGCTTGCAATCCTTTCGATTTTGACCGATTACCTGTATCAGTTAAACTTTGACGCGAGAGATTCTGTTAGTGATATTGCAGGGCTACTCAAGCGTTCGCGTTTGCGGTCGCTGTAGATAGTACTTATCGAAAGCGTTAAGTACCGCCGTATCACATGGATGCTACACGTTATTGTACAGAGAATTTCCGGAGCTCGGAGTGGCCCTACCATTGTTCACATAAGGAATACGGATACGTGGTTGGTAACTGGTCCACCGATTACCTATAAGTGACCGACTGATACTGAACTATCCATCCGCCATTGGTACAACTGCAAGAAGAATTTTACGTTAAAATTTTTATCTGGTCGAACCGCCTCCTAGAAGATTACAGAAATTTCGAATACAAACGCCACCGATGTCGTTAAAAAATCAGACCGCTTATCAATTGTTTTGGAAGCACTCTATATCCTCAAGTATCGGATAAAGCTTCGAAACGCAGGGATTAACACAGGGATCTGCAACGAGATAAATGTATGGTGACCAATCAGCGTTTTTCCTATGCTTTGCAGCTACCTCGTAACGACCGATGTAACTCTAGCAATGTAGCGATGTAGTGCTAGCAAGTTACTCGCGCTATTAAATTGGTTTACTTTACCCTGTGTAACTTTTCTGCATTTTATTAGGTCAAGAAAGAATCCCATACAGAGCAAAATTGCAAAGAAATCTCTAGGAAATTTATTTTGGAAGTCTGGACACGATCCCTTGATCCGAATCAACACATCGAAGGTCATTGTAAAACTTATCGTGCGAGCGACAGAGACACGTGAAAAGGGAGAGAAGAATAACTCTCTGATGTTTATATCGCAGTGATTAACTACGCGTTCATTTGGATTAAGTTAATATTCAGCCTTGACTATTTCTAATGGCTTTCAAAACACATCTCAACGTTCCATTGCCATCGGTCAACAATTACTAGTTCCGCGAGATGTTGTAACGCGTTGGACTTTAATTTGGTGTCTTACGCTGAATACCCGTAATCCATTTCAATTTGCATTCTCATGCGAAGCTTGAGTCAGGGATGCGGTGGGTGGATCCAAGTTTCAGTTGTCACTGTTACGAGTCAAATGGGGCTTAATCGCAATGGGATGTAAAAGAAAGGGTTTCGCCTGAATACCCCAAAGAAAAAGGGAGAGATCGTTTCTTTCGCAATTTTGACCTAAATATCTGCATACCATGGTCTTAAATCTAGTCACCACGTGTGGACGTCCGAAGTGACCGAACAACTGTTCCAGGCCCAGCCGCATTGACGCGACGGCAAGATGTAACAGCAAGGGTTGCAATAGTAACAGCAGTTCTAGTAAGAGCAGGAATAGTAATAACAGGAGTAGGAGGAGTAACGGTAATAATTATAGAAGGAGTAGTAGTGGTAATAGTTTTAGTAGGAATAGTATTAGTACTTGTCCTCGTGGCAACGGTAGTAACAGTATTAGTCATAGTTGCGGTACTGGTAGTAGTATTAATAGTAGTGGTAGTTGTAGTATTAGTGGTAGTAATAGTAGCCGTAACGGTAGTAGTTAAGTGGTAGCAGTAGCGGTAGTCATTAATAATAGTTTACGATCACTCGATAACTTACTCGTTAACATGATGGTTTATACAGATATGATTATTGTTTATGTCAGAATGAGGCATCTCAAGGCACGCCCACTCCCCGTCTCGGCTTTGGACGAAACGGTGCTCAGTCCATCCGCTCGTCCATCCGTCCGTCTCCCCAGGTAAGTAAGTACCTACCTACCTACCTAGCGACCTAGACTTCTAGCTAGCTACCTACCTACCTATTTGCCTACCTACCTACCTACCTTCTTACCTAGCTATCTACGTACGTACGTCCGCACCGCGGCCGATCCACTCGGGATCTCCCGACTCTTCTCTGCCCGATCGCTACTCGAGTTTCGCGTGCATGCGCCATCCCCTGTTCGCGACTCCGTCTTCGCTTGGGCGAGCGACTCTCGCGCCCGACTTCTCGAGTAGCTCTTCCAGAGAAGCGGAAACGCGATCGAACCTGATCCCTTGAAGGCTTCCATCCGGCGGATCGGCCTCCGGGTTTCGTTCCGGCCGAAGACCGGCTCCGGAAGACCCGCCCGGAGACCCGCTCAGTGGACCGAATACCTACCGATCACTATGGCGATCTACAGTCTTGGCGTATACGTAGATATGTGAGTAGGTACACCGTAGGTAGGTACCTGTGCGCGAGGTTGTTGCCGTCTCTCCCTCGAGCACTCGACTTTCTTACTTTCTTCCTTGAACTCTCGTCCCCTTTCCGACGACCTAGCCTCGAGTACCGCGTGGATCTTAACGACGGGTGGTACGACGCCGGACGAGAGGTACCGAGAACAAGAATGCGAACGACCAAACGACCGTGTCCTTGACCGTGACCGGGACCGGATTCCCCAGCTTCTCGTATTCCATCCTGCGTTCGTGGGGTCGCAGGAGTAATGGAGAACCGTAACCGATGAGACGATCGCGTCCATGACACCGGAACGGTTCACTTGCCCAGGCCGAACTTCATGAAGATGAGCTCCTTGCCTTTCGACAAGATGTCGCCGCCGGCCCCAGCACCCGCCATTTCGGTGAACTTTTGCATTAGGTTTGGCCCCGTGCTCGAGGGCGGCTGCTGTTGCTGCTGTTGTTGCTGGGCGTCCGTCGGAGCTTTGGTTTGTGCCGTCGGGACGACCGCCGGTACCCCTCGCAGCGGTTTGCTGGGCCCCTGGGGACCCTGCATCGACGAACCTTGTCCAGGTTGCTGCGGGAACTGTTGCCCCGGTTGCTGCTGGAACTGAGGATTCTGCTGCTGTCCGTACGGCTGCCCCTGTTGCTGGTAACCGGGGTTCTGTTGACTGAAATTCTTATTCTGTAGCTGCTGTTGCTGCTGCTGCTGTTGTTGTTGCTGTTGCTGCTGTTGAGTCTGGTAGTCGAGGGGTTGCTGTTGTTGCTGCATGTGCCCGGGTGGACCTTGAAGCCCTCCTGGTACGTTACTACCACCGACTCTGTTGTTCACACCTCTCCCCCTCCCCTGTAAAAGGAATTAATTTTTTTAGAAGATGGAATGCCGTGGACGATTTGGAGGACAGACTTCCGCAGAAATGTGGAGGCACGTTTCACTACAATGTTGCCGCATCGAAAGGTCTTTCGTCTTGGATGTGGATTTTGTGATCTTCGGTGATGTGAGATGTCGGGATTGGATGAAGTAATGTCCCTTCCTCGGGATGAAAACGTGGTTATTAGAGACTACTTTCCTGTTGCTTTTAATTGTACAGAAAGAATAAAATGTAGAAAGATGCGTCGATGTCTAGGTGCATTATATTACGACATAATCCGATTATTTCGATCCGACCAGCCCTCGTATTTCTTTTCACTTTTAAATGCACCTTTAAAATAAATAGTAACGTTATTGGAGTGTTCCACCTTAAAGGAAATTGTTGTAGATGCAAGCACCAAATAATGTTAAACTATGTCTATTTCGTTGTCTTCGATCATCTGTAATTTTTTTCAAAAAGCATATAATTCCTTTTGATGTAATTATCACATAACGTCATTAACACTAAACCTACTGTCGGGCCGTTAAATGACAATTTTTAAATGGTGTTGATAATGGGGTTATAAATTGTCGGCATGTTTAGTGTTAATAAATAGACAATTCTAGATTTAAGGATATCATAACAACCGATTGTTAACCCTCATTCGAAGTTGGTGTAAGCTTATCAATTAGAAAATAGAATTCGGAAGTTAATTTAGACGCAGATATCTCCAAGAATTGAATTGAATTATGATTTAAAATTTACTGTAATTTTGATTACCCAGCTACGGTGATTACTTGTAACGGAGGTGCAGATTTTGAAATTATTTAACTGCAGAACGACCTTCTTGCTTAATAAATTTGTGTGTGCATTTTGGGCGAGTTATTTATTTTATTTTGATCGGTATTAACGAGCAATATCCAATATTATTTTACTTAAAGCCAAATTACATATAAAGCTTTCTTACATTTACAAAATATCGGCCAACATGCGCGAGTCATTTTCGACGTGCATTTATGTTCAGGTACAATACAACTCAACCAACGGTATGTACTTGTTAAGAACCATATGCAATTTTTAACCTTTACTGCAAGTAGCAGCTGTGTAAATACTAAAGAAATAGTTATGCATTATCCGGTATTCCATACAGGTTATTCAAAGAGAATTAAGATATCCTTCAGATGTGCAAGTTAAGTAAATTGCCCTTTATGGTTGGAAGTACTATTTCTTATATATTTCATCACTGGCGAATGTTTTTGAAGAAAAGAATGGCGCAATAATTAGGCAAGCATAGAATGCGACATGCTGTAGGTACCAACGAGAACCATTTCAACCATTGCGTTTAGAGTACGACCAGAAATAGCTAATCTGTATGTTCATAAGCATATGCACATATGCTATTTCTCTTATTACGAGTCTGCATTGGCAGTTTGTAACTTCCTGACGATAACAAATGCTCACATCCCTTCAATAATTATGTACGATACTGATTAAGACGAACTTGCAAAGTATTCTAACATGTTTTGCTGCGATTAACTCGAAGCGGAAGTGCACAAAAATGTTAGCAAAGTATAATCCTATATAATGTGTTATACTTCTTCAAGGTATTATAATTAAAGCTTGTTACACTTAAATATAGAATATACTGCTGCAGTGTAACATGCAGTAACAAACACCAACTTCGAAAGGACAGACATGCGTAAGCATGTAAAAAGTCCCGTTACCGTCGAACGGCAACGTTTTCGAATTTTTGTCACATAACTGAAATATAATAAAAACGATTCACAAGTTATCAATATCCTAATCATTTTTGTAGCATATATACCCAAACTTGTGTTGATAATTAATTGAGCCTGAAAATTAAAGAAGAAGGCTTCCGGTTGCGTTACAAGAACAACTTCAATATTCGTGTAATTAGTCGAGGTTTCTTAAGACAAATGCAGTACACCGAAGCCCACAATTTGCAGATATTTATGTAACATAAAATTGAAAAGCCGAAGCTGGCAGGGTAAACAACTGAAAGTTGTGCATCCGTAACAGAAACAAGTTGCTACTAAGTATAACCCTTTATTGTCGAAAATTCCCTTACAAAGGGACTGAAACGTTATCACTATATAAAATCATAAAATATGTCGACTGTAAAGGGTTAATATAATCGATCATCGAATTTGATATTAAACGAACTGAAAGTTGCTTCACGAGTCACCGGCGACTCATGACAAACCCTTGACAAAAATAGCAATCTAACATTCTTAAACGTCAAAGCCTCAAGACGGGATACCAGTGCACGTGAATTCTGTCACTGGTTCCGAAAAAGTGAAGAAAAGTAAATCCTTTTTCTGAGATGCCCAGTGACCGATTAGCCATTGTATACCGAGGTAATTTATATTGATCCTCATTTTTTAGATATCCGGTGATCCATATGAAACGGTATTAAGGCAAAGCTAAGCTTGATGTCGAATCGAGGATCAAATCGAGAGCTTACTCGAGATCGCTCAAGACCCTATGCGATGTTATGCAATACGATGGAGGTACATCCTGGGGCTAGATAACTCACCTGTTGCTGAAGATGGGGTGGCACCGGGCCTGCACCCTGCTGAAGATGGGCGTTATGGGGTCCTTGACCCATGAGACCACCGATCGGCGGATTACCCGGACCGTGCTGATTCGACGTGGTTACGGTCGTGTAGCTGTGGTGATTCGCTTGTTGGTACGCTAGATGCGGTGGATTGTTTTGTTGTTGTAGTTGATGTTGTTGATTGTTCATTAGTGGTTGTTGTTGTTGTTGTCTAGAGTCTAAGTGACAGACAGGGACAGACACAGGCACAATGCAGGCATCTAGCAACAGAGAAGAGAACAGAATCGTGTTGTCATTTATGGCGCATTTTTAGTGAGCTCCGTTTCGTCATGGAATGACTTCCGATATCAGCAAGAATCTCTGTAGAAATCTTCACGTTCGATTCGCTCTTCCCTGAGATTGTGGAATTATTGAAACTTTATCGTTCACAAAGGACGGATATAAACTTACAATCATCTTTGCGCTCCAAAAGAAAATAACAGTTAGTTCTTTGAAATTGTTTGAAAGGGCCCACCAAAAGACACACATTTCTTTTGCACTGCATCAAGTCCAACCCTTGATATTCCAACTTACTTTACATTAAAACTTTGACAAATTTAAGACTTGTTTATGTTACATTTGGAATGATAGTAACAGAAGGGAGTAATTGTAACTAGTTGGACAGTCTACTGTTTAAAACTACTTGTGATTAATGTTAAGTTACGGGAAAATCTAAAAATTTGATTATATAGAATATAGTGTACTGCGAAATTTCAATCCGATCACTAAACCAAATCTGAGTGGATGCCTTACGTTATTGTAACCGGCCATTTGAATTGTGTACTAGTAAAACCTGTACGCCTTTGCTTGAGTCAACAGTTTTCTCTATTCGAAGAGAATGTAGGATGATACCGACCACAGAATGTATATTCACACAATATTGCCACAAAGCACAAGATGCGTTGCAAGAGTTACATGGTTATACTGTTTTTAAAAAAATAATAAAGGTCTCTGTACAATTTTGTAGAAAATTTTGAATTTAATAACAAATCCGAATCCATTTTAAAAATACAATTTGTATTTCTTATAACAAATGTTTGTTGGTGTACGTAGAATGATTACTATATTTACAGTTGAAATTCACTTTGTTCATAATGAATTCGAAAATCGCGCCAATGGAGTTCACAAACATAATACGAAAGCAGAATATTTCAGAAAAAATCAGTATTACTTATGAAAATATCTGTTCCACGCATTTTCACGAAAAGAAAAATAATAAAAGTTCAGAAAAGTCATTAAGATTTATTTATTTGAATTTAATCCACTGACATGTATTAAATTTAAGAAATGTCATAAGTAAAAATAATTTTCATTTCGCGTAAAAAATACGCGAAAATTGCGTATAAAAAATACACGCAAATCGCGAGAATGGTATAACATTAAATCAGTGTTGACTCGAAACTGTTATTATAACCCACTTAGCACTCAGATGCACCAGTATTATTTTATATAAACAAAGGTACAATCCAAAATCAAGATTTTTTAGACTCGTTGACATAAGCCAGCAGTAAATTTCTCCCGTTCCGTTGTCCGAGATGTAAGATTTTTTACCATATTATGAAAAAGAGAAAAATTAATCAAAGCAGTTGACGGCAATTTTTCATCCTGTTGCTTCATATATCGAAAACAAGAGAGCACAAGCAGATACTGTTTACGGTACAGAAAAGAATCTAGAATAAATTGCCACACAACTTTGCGTTATACTCTAACACGATTCCCAAAGAGTTAAATCTGAATTGAATAACACTTCTAAACAGAAAAACTATTATTAATACGAAGTACAAGTATACGTTGTAACATTTTTCGATGCAAATTAATTCAATAAAAAATCAAGAACACTATTTGATAGAAATTATCGCTGTAACAATGTAAGTTTAAGAGATATATTTCCAAAGCGCATTTCTTCCTAGTCGTTTCAAGAGCTTAGGTTGTTTGAATGATGCATGAGAAGAGCGAATTCTGCAACCATGAAGGATGTTGAGCACACATTGGATTAAGCACGCGTAACTTGGTAATTTGCCTAAAATGTGACGAAAGCTGCTCTGCGCAATAAATAACAGTACACATCGTAAAAAATAAGGGATGGACGGACAGACGGACACGCAGAATCCGATAGTCGTCGATCCGTCCTTCCGTGTACGGATCCATCGATAGACGATCGATCCGTCGATCGGTGGGTCGCTAATTTAGTTATAAATGGCCAGCATGACAACACGACACGCACGACAATCATGTGACACGACGACCATCGACCAGTTCAGGCATACAAAAACGAATCATGTCGATATATACGTCTATATATGTCATATATGTAAAGAAATACTGCACTCGCTACTCTGAGATCTGTCTTTGCGATAACAACTATTATTGTAATTGATATCAATATAGCAACATGATCCTGATATAATCAATCGATAAATAAATATAATGCACGTGTAATCGCCTATACATGTACATACATAGATATACCGTACGCATACGCACGAAATGCGTGCGCAGGTAAATCATCCATCTACATATACGTACATATTCGCGTGTATATGCGGACATATATATCTGTATATATATATGTGTAGAGTAACAGAGAAGTAGTGAGAGAGGGAGAGACAGAGTAGGGCAGATGTAGAGTATAGAGCTATGAGGTGCTCGGAGAAGAAATATAGTCATATATATATATACTTAATAGAATACACTGAAAGCAGCTTGGTGTTCATTGCATTTGTCAAGTGTATAGGAGCGCATGTTCCCAGGACATTCGTTCATGTGTCCCTCTGTCACGCGTGTTACGCAGGTTACGCGCAAATACAAGTATGTAGGTGTGTTTCAATTTTTTTCCGCCGCAATTTTCTCTATGCAGAACTGCTTAGGTCCATTTAGAATTGCGACGAGTCATCTGTCCCTTGTCCGTACTTCGTACCGTACTTCAATGACAAGAATCAAGGTAGGCATTTTAAATAATTTTTTAAGTAACTCCGTTTCTGTCACAATATATGTATGGGGCCTAGGGATATATGTATACCCATGTATACGTTGATGAATTTCCATTCGATCGCCTAGTCACCCGTAATTACCCAATATAACGTTCGCATATCTGCTAACAAGTACTGAGAGGTGGATCAATTAATCCTTGTGCAAGATATTGCGGGTACTGGTGTTCATGTCCCTGTTCCTGTTCCGTAGGACAAGTAGTTTGAGTATAAAGGTCGCACATACAACGAAGTCACTTAATCCATAATATGGAAACTATTGTCTGATCGAGAAAGGGTTATTTCAGTTAAGAAAAAATAATAAGAAGTGAAAAATACCCAAGTACGGTGACTGAGCTTGATTTCAGTGTGATTTCGGTATTGTGGATTATGTTTCTTTTCTTATGTATATTTTTTGCGATTGCCTTCAGTTACTTCGATATATGTTTTATATTCAGAGATTAAAATCAATGGGTAAAGGGTGGCTTTCATCTGTCAAGTTAAAAATTAAACCGCAAAATCAGTTGATACAATTTGGTATCAGTCTGTGGCAACAGTAAGACAACTCTATAGTGGAGTCTATGTAGTCGTGGCAAGACTTTTACAACTTGCGACTAGGGAGTTATATCATTTCATTTTACTGTGTTATCATTATATGTAGAATACGTTTCGAAAACATTGTACACAAATGACAGTTAAATAAAGCATCCTTTAAAGCATTATTAAATTAATGGAAATTTAATAACTATAAGGATTTTTACTTTGGATTGACATTATTAACGAAATGTATTTTACCTATAGACTTCGATGAATAAACCTAGACTACTATACGAGTTAGTTTTTAATTTCAGAATAATCTGGAATTGTTTTTTTTATCGTCGTAATATAAGCAAAAGCATTTACATCTTTTGAATCAAATAAATCCAAAGACACAACACATGTAATACCGTCAATCGTTAACATTAATTACGTCAGTTTTATATTAGCATATTTGCCATCAGAAAGTAAATGGATAAATAAAGTATAATATCATATCACGATAGTAGACTTAGAGTCAAAAAAACATTTTCGAAATTATTCCTGCGTAACAAATTTTACTCAACACCTATTAGGATTGGCACACTGGCCATAAAGGTAACAAAAATAGTAGTCTAGGTTTATGTCTACCAAGAAATCTGCGGTTTTAATGTTCAGTTTCCATAGGATCAATATTGTCATTTACAAACCATAACAGAACAAAGTTCCGTACCTTCTTTAACCCCACATGTTTCAAATAGGTATAAGGATTGGCTGTAACCCTGTGACACTTCTGCCTGTCGTCTGGCACACTGAGTCTCGTGTCTCGTGTCTTGTGTTGCTTGCCATCTATGTTTCTGCTCGCACCGACTCACTTAGCAAGATTTAACACTTTTACACAAATTTACTCTCTTATTTTATTTTTTTTTATTAATTTATATCTCCGTTTTATTTCCAGTATATTTGTTTTTGCGTATATCCTGAAGATAGTCGATTAAAAATGAAGTAAAATTAAGAAACTAATTAGAATACCTGAAGCTTCCGTAAAATATATCTGAAATTAGACAGTTAACGAGGTTCCTAAAAAATTGACATGCCGGTTATTCACACATCGCATTTCCCACTATATTTCTCGTAATAATGTTATAATCTGGCAGGTGGTATGAAAATTTACACTGCAACATAGTCATGTAACGGTTGGATGTTATCCGGAGAGATAAACTTTAGAAACGAGGACACAAATAAGTGAGAAGAAACGAAGAAGTCTAAAAGGTCTCTATATTAAACAAATAAGAGTAAGTAAATAAATAAAATTGAAAAATGCGCAAATTATAAATGGAATAAAAAAAGAGATCGAGATAAATACAGAAACGAACTTAAAAGAATAAACAACAAAATAATTGCGCTAACGGAAAATATAACAATACAAGAATAAATAAATATAAAAATAAAACGCTATGCCGGAATAAAAAGATAAATAAACAGAAAGATGAATTAAAAAACAAAATAGTACAAGAACAAGACGTAAATGATGAATAACAACGATTAGAGAGAGAGAGGGGCTTAACTTTTCTTGGAGGTGTGTGTGAAGGAGCGTCGGTGCGGCAATAAAATGAGTCAACTTTTTAATGGTCCGCCGATTAAAATCCAATGGCCGATACTTGGCCAGTCCTTGTAAGAGGAACGTGGCAACCGCTGGCCAGATCGTGCGTCCACGATCTTCAGAAATTTTCTTCAAAATTTCTATCAACGGCCCTTGATAATGGCAGCCGACTTTCTTCTATCCAACGGAATACCGTTGAACCCCCTTGTTCCCTCTCTCTTCATCTCTCCCTCCATCTCTCTCTTTACAGATACTATTTATTACATATTAAGAATAACCACTACAGTTATTACGTCATGTTGAATACTCTTCACTTCCAACAGAATTAAAAAATTCGATATCAGTCTTGTGCAAAAAAGAATTAAATAAAAACGAAACATCGTCGAAGTTATCAATTTAAAGTTGCTACTTAATATAAAATTAAACACTTCAATGTACTGCTCTATCTCGTTTTACGTTAACATTTTAGTAATCGTTTCAAGTTATGTTTAAACGCTTCAGATAATTGTTTCCAATCGAAGTAATCATTTAGCGAGGTTCATTGCAGAGTCGGTGCGAGCGAGGTTATGATATACGCCACCATTTTCGGTGTCGTGTCAATTACGGTAATAGGTTCTATCCGGTAATAATCCGATATAGAAATGCCCAAGGAATGATTTAATGTTTACCTTTGGCACGTCGGTGGCCGGAAGGCGGAGGTTCCCTGGGAGGTGGTGGAGGACCTCTCGCACCGGGTCCTTGACCTTGTCCGGGAGGTCTTCTACTTCCTGCGGGTAGGGGTCCTTGAACTGGTGCTTCGGTCAGGAAATTACTCGGAACTAGTCCACGTGCCCCGTTGACCTCACCCACGTAGAATCCATCGTCGTCCATTTCTCCGTAAACGTAGACCTCGTTACCGGTTTGGAAAGCCACCTCGACTTGCTGTAAAATTATAGGTTTAACATGATTTCCAGTTTCTGATTCTCGCTTTTTATTCAGTTCGTACAAAGCTGTAACATTATCCTGTGAAGGTAACCATAATCTCAACGTACTCAATCTATAAGAATAGATGTAATTACGAATAGTCAAATACCTGTAACCTGTTTGTAGAAATTAAGATAATTGAAAATATGGATCTTATATCTGTTCAGTTATTTTGACAGTAGCGACTATTTTTGGGAAAGAAAGTGAAAAAATCAAGTGCTAATGCATGAATCCTTAGGCGTGAACGAATACTTACCTCCTTTTCGTACAATGCAATTCAAATTTATTGTCAAGCGTTTAGAATGAAAGTCAAAATCAAAAAGGACGTTTACTTACAACAAAGTCCAAATCATTCGATTTGAAGAAAAATTTGCAGGTATGTAGAGAGTCTCGATTAATTGACATTCAAAATCTTGTATGAGATAGTCGTTTCTTAATGTCGAACTTATCGTGTTTTCTTCTAAATTGTAATGTGTACTAAATCATGGCATGCAACGAATGTATAAATACGCACGTTTTGTAATTACTTCCATTATATATATTTAAACGAAGATACGAGGAAAAAACGTCGAGTGCAAGAATTACCTCCGCATCGACATTAGGCGAGAGTTCTTGCGGATCGTAATCGAAGAGAGCGATCATCTTTTTGACCGGCACGTTAGCGTAAGCATCAGCGAATCTGTCATTCAGAGATTGGCCCCTCCTACCCATGGTGCCTTGACCTTGAATCTGGCTCTGATTTTGGTCCTTCAATTCCTCGACCATATTGTGCGGCACGTATCCTCGTCTACCCCTGCATTCTCCCCAATAAAATCCATCGGCATCCTTCTCGCCATAAACCTTAAAATGATACAACCCATGTTGCATAGAAATCATCAAACATGCGATGCAAATAAAAAAACTAAATAGAACAGCGTGGCAGAAAGGATGAAGAAAACTGTTCTACATAGAAAGCCAGATTCCTTTGATGTCTAGGTAAGATGGGCAATCTTAAATGTACATAACATACAGTTAACGTCATAACTAAGGAACGAACGTTATCAAACGTTATGAAAACGCTATTAATGTACAAATCTAATGGTTTAATACATGTTAAAAAAGCGTATCTTTTCCATTACTCATCTTTAAAACTAAAATACTGTAATTGTTAAATCATTCTAAATCATCGATTTAACAAAATACGTGCCGCCAGAAAAGGGGTAAGGAATTACGCGAGTTGGCCTGATATTGCACGTGTTCGGATTCGAACTCCGAGGTAAGTGCATTACCAGTAATGTAAGAATGCGATGCAAAGCTAAAGACATCGAGAAACCTTGATAGTGTCGCCTTCGGAGAAAGGTAATTCCTCTTCGCAGGCATCGGGATTGGGCGACATGGTGGTGGGGTCGTAGTCAAAGAGCGCTACGAACCATCGGATCCTCTTATTGACTGGTTGAACTCCACCGGGAGGATGGTGCGGATGATGAGGTCCTCCCTGAGGTCCTTGTATCACGTTACCTCTTCCACCTTTGTATATGGGACCTCGCCCCCTTTGATTCACTGAAAATAGTAACCACATAGATCGTTTAGTTCCTGCAACCCGATTGAATCCTCTACGTCTGACTCTGACATTTAAGAAACGTCAAAGAAGCCAATAAGAAGATATTCGAAGAGAAGTTTACAAAACATGTTTGTAAAGTTATTTGTGTTGCTTGGTGTTGTGTATGTATTAGCTGTAAAAATATTGAGCAATCTAATGCGATACCTGTGTATCGTAAGGATGGAGTCATGGGTATTCTTGACGAATGCCATCAAAGGATTATACGGATGAAATAAAAAACGTGTTAAACAATATTTGTTATTTATGTAATAGATAAGTAAGAAATATTAATTAGATAGACAACACACTGTAGGAATTTAAAGGCAAGCAAGCGGAACACAAAATCATTTTTAAATTTTACTTAATCATATCGACGACTTAGAAATTTTGTTTCACTCTCAGACTTATTATTCACTGCATAGAAGATTTTCACCTCCTTATTAATAGGTTAATTCAAGTGGTCATTGAATTTGATTGTCGTTTGTAGCACTTAGCTTGTACACCGATTGAATGAAAAAAATGAAGTCAATTGCGAATTAATTACGTGTTACGAGAAAGCACTACACACAAAACTAAATACAGCGATAAAATACTTCGAAGAGAATTATGCAGCATTCAGAGAGTTAAAGACAGCCGCTCGTATTATTTCTGTTGTCATTTGTAAATAAAAATCTGGGCATTATAAAATAAAATTATATCAATATTATTCCAACACTTTTCTGTAAACTGAGTCACAACGTTTTGTTTTTACCCTGTACTTTACAACTTCTTTATGCAAAAAAAAAATATCATTAAATCAAATCAAGTTTATCCCCCCGCGTGTCTTTTTTGCTGTCGATCACTAAAAATAGGCGTAGATTACACCTACATATGAAAACTTTGTTCAGAACTGTAATTTAGAATACAAGGATTGCTTAGTATGCGTACTGAAGGCATAGTTATATCTAAACTTTCGGAAAAAGGAACATACTGTACCGTCATGGTACACCATCGTTTACACACAGTTTGATAAAACTATGCCTTTAGTACTCGTACCAAATAATCGATGTATACTGAGCTGCAGTTCTGAATGAAATTCTTATTAAGTACAATTATCTTCAGTGCAACCTATTCAGATAAGCCAGGATGGGTGTTTGAAATATAAGCGATCCTCGCTGATCTATATTGGATCACTTTGAGTAATAAGCGTCTTCTGTTAACATTTTATTGACATGAAATGATAACCAAGCGCGGCTGTTTATGCGTCAAAGGGATGCAGCGTCTTTCTTCCGTGTAGGCAAACTGTAACGTGTGGTTTTGAAAGCGTCTCCTGAGGTCCCACCACAGGCCCGAAAGCAACAAATTCCATTCCGAAGTCCGACATCCTATCACGCCTTTATTTCAGCATTGACGATGACAGAGAAGAAGAAAGTAGGATGCACACGAGCCGACGAGGGAATATCTATACCCGACTGATCCTGATAGTAACAATCCTGAGGTCTCGAAGACTCGGTGGCTCTTCTTGGTGATCTATGGGATCCAGGTGGAGGTCCTTGGGGACCTTGATGGCTAGAGTACCGATGATGACCATGATGAGATCCTGAAGGGTGGCCCATAGGTGGTCCGGAGGAAGACTGCGGGGCTTGTTGCATATTTCGACCTCTTCTAGTTTGATCCTCCTCCTCGCTGTAGTTTGCCTCACTGGCCGAGTCCTTCGTGATTTCAGGAACACCTGTATAGTGATATTCCTTTAGTATCCTATTCTAACGGATCTCAAACTTGACCTTTCTAATTTCAGAACTCACTACATCTCGTCAAGATTCGCTACGATTAAGTTGTGCGAACAAAGGGTCATTGAATGACGAGACTAATAACGGCCGGTTTCACCAACAGCGATTAAATAATTGAATATTGTATGACAAAGTAAACGCACAAATCCTTGTAATCGAGGATTAGCTTGTTGATCGAGGTTAGTGGAACCGGGCTTAAGTGTTCTACCTCTAAGAGAAGCAGCGATCGATCAGATTTATGTCTCTTAACGATGTACTTCTTCTAAAGTTCTAAATAATTTGTATCCTCTAAGGAACATTTCAATATTCTATACGATATTCACCTGTATCGTAGTAACACACAGTACGATTTTTAATAATTATCTTAAAAAACGTGGCTATAGCAGTGCATTTTACATACACGGTGCGTCATGTCATTTAGAAATTGCCCGCACGAAAAATTGCGTGGTAAAATTATAACGTCATAATAAAACGACAGATTACAAAATAACAGTTTATTTTTCATTACTGATGGTCAATGATTAAATTCTCTGATAGTCTATTAGAAGAGATCTATGCGGATCTGTGTCTATTTAAAAACGAATACAAAAAAAAAGGATTTCGTGAACTTTTTCAGAATATGCTTTCGGCGAAATGTGCAAGAAAAATTGATAATGATGTCACAGGGACGTTACAAGAATGATCAAAACCCGATGTACATTTGTTTACAAATTCCATGATGTCGAAAGAAAATTATAAATATCTCAAATTAATTCTTCTTTGCAAGTATCTTTCAATTAGTACATGGAATTGAAAAAGGAAATTTTCACATTCTTAAGAGATATCCTTGTTTTCACCAAGTAGAAAAGTAGTACCTTTGTATTACTAACTTAATAGAGTACACTGCGTTAACTTTGATTATTTGGTTTGCCTACTCTGTGCGAATGCAATCGAGGAACGAAGTCAACTGACGACATTCTCGTATGCAGTATTTCTACTGCACACATAACCAGTGCGTCGTTTGGTGCATCTTATTTATGATATTCGTCTGCCAGTGTTCTGCGCCAGTTCAATAGTGGGGCAAATTATACTGCATTATTACAACTGCATTAGTACAAAGCCTGAAAATGCGGTTCGGAACGGATTCGAAAATACCAAAAAAAAAAGTAAGATTAATAAACTAAACAACGTAATAATTATAATATGAAAATAGATCGGATACTGCTTCAGTCTCATTTCAATACTATTTCTATACAATGATTGTAGTTTTTAAGAACAATCTATAATACATATAAAAAAGAAATATGAAATCATTAAAAAATATATTCATGTACTTTGTGTTGTTATACGTGTTCTCTCTCGTATAAATATTTTGCCTAATCAATAAGATTTTAAATGGCACTTTTTGAAATTAATTCTTCCTACGTATTCATTAGCTTTGATAGTTTTTACATGTATCATCGTAAGGCGCAGAATATACTATGCAATACTAATTAAGGAAGGAAATTAAATTAAATGTACTTTTTTACAAAACGATCAAAGCTAAGATTTGGGGCTACTGGCTTTTCTGGTCAATCAAAGCTTTGTTTGGGACTTGGTTAAATTCATATCGTGCATTATGAAAATAAGCTGAACTTCAACAAACTATCTAAGGGCAGGTGAAAATACATTTCGCGAAATGCATTCCATAAGTTGGATATTTCAACACTTACCGGATAACGAAGATGTTTAATTTCGAGATTTGAGAGAAATTACGCGAATAACTCTCAGTGTGTGTTTTCATATGTTTGCACTATTGTATAGCCCAGCACGTAACACTTGTTTAACACTAATATTGCTCATTATAAAACAATCTGTGAGTCACCTCTGATTGAACTATAACAAGCAAAATGCCTTTTAAAGACAATTTTTATGGAGTAACTGTGATTTTGTGGTATTGAAATATTTGTAATGTAAAGAACAATACACCATCTATGAGGTGTCTATATTAATTCATTGATTAGGGCCGCCAGATAATGAAAATTGAATAACTGATGAATTTTACACATAATAATAAATACAATAGAACTATATATTGACAATCAAAAGTAATTACGCTGAATGGGGGAATTGATCTTAATTTCTTTGTAGTACATGTCGAAGAGAACGTATCGATTCACAATATGAAACACGCATTAAAATTATTTTGCTATATTCTTTGAGTAAAAAAAAAATTACAAGAATAATATATTTGGCGTTACATCTTCTAAGAGTCCCTTCTTAAACTGGTTTCTGTCTTTTTATCTTTGTTTATAAGCATGTATTTATTCGTGTTTACCGCACTGTTTATACGTGTACCTCAGGTAATTCGCTTCGTTAATGTGTACATCGTCGATTCAATATCACTTGCGTAAGTGACGCGCCATTTTCAATATGTCGATGGTTAAAGGTGTTACAATAATGTGGAGCAATGCAAAAACATAACAAATATGATAGAGGAAATAGGAATAATTTTCTGTACTTTCTATGGAATTTCAAATGAAAACTTCAACATTTTTTAGAAATAAAACTAAATAAGTTCAGAATGTTTTCCTCGAAAAATCATCGGTTATTTGTGATATGATAAATTTTCCAAAAAAGCCGAAGTTATCTCCGAAACCCTCCGGATTAAAAAGTTTTTATTTTTACATTTTCAGTTATTACACCTTCCATGAGGATTCTAAAATTTTAATTGTATAAAATAAACGACATCGGTTATACGAAAAAATAACCCAATCACGATGCGGTTACTGTCAACGGTTCATGATTTCCGTTGTCTGTCTTCGGATTTTATGATCGGATTATGAAGAAACTTACATGGGACGACCTTGAAAGTACCCTCTTTAAGGCAAAAAAGAATCACCAAAATCGGTTAACCCGCAGAAATTTTATGCCTGAACATACATAAACATTTTTTTGTTTAAATATACGGGACGAATCGATAACCTCCTTTTTTTTAAGTCGATTTGAAGTGTAAGTACTCTAGGTAATTCTTAACTTTTTTGGCGAGAGGAAGACATTTCATTGCCCTACGAAAAATCGTTATAAGAATAGTTTCATCCTTGGTTCGATAAGTTTAATCAATTCAAATAATGTTTACCAAAAAAGATGTTTCTAGTGCCCCGAATACGCATAAACACCACTGGCTCGTCACATTATCAAACATGGCGATAAGAATTTTTGAGTTTAATGTCGAATAAATTTGCTTACCCATCTGCGAAACGCCTTGACCAGGATAGATCTCCTTGTCGGAGAGGTTTTCGTCTGTTTCGATGATGACTTGTCCATGAGCATCCACCCTGGTAGCACCGTGTCGTCTCATGTGAGCCGGAACCGGCGCACTTGGGTACCTCTGTACTGTGGCCACACCACGTCGATTAGGGTCATCCTGGTTGCCCACGGGAACGAGATTTGTCTGCTGCTGACTCTGATCAACCCCGGGATGCATCGTGCCATGCTGAAGATGTTGGGTGCCACCACGAAGCACACTGCAGGGTATCGCCGTGGCGCAGCTATCGCCCGATTGGCTTTCGCGACTCTTCGTCCTAACGGTGATATGCTTTGGATTCAAGCCCATTAATTTGTGAATATCGACAAGGGCGTGATCACCGGTGGGGCTGTCGACGTCGGTAACTTTCTTCCCGTCGGCGTAAACCGCGTAACCGGTGACGGCCGAACCGTTTAGGGCAACAGGCTGCCAGGTCACTAGCAAAGTGCCGTCCTGCGGTCCAGCCTCCACCTGAAAGCCATTACGAAACTCAGCTAAAAATCTAAATACCTTTGATAGATCAGAACCAACCGCAAACTACTCAGAGACATTCGAGACTCTAACGTCGAAGACAGAAATGCGTCTCTTTAATCATTCATCCATACTTCAAGTAAGCAAATTCATACGTAATGCGGGACGAAGAGCGTGATAAATATTTCACGCGGAACATGAAATGAAAGCCCTTTTTGAAGTTATACTAGAGGCTCCCTCAAATCCGATTTACATATATGCAAAGTGTACCGATTCAGGAATTATTTATCTACATTTAAGTAGCTTTCACCGGTAAGTTTCTGTACGCCTTTTCCTTCACTGCCGTTAAAGGTACACGTAGCATAAATTCAAACTAGGGCTTCGACGAATAAATATATAAAGTTCGCCGCAGCGAGGGAAATCTTGATAATGTTTTCAACCTGGATATCGACCGGAGGGTCGGGCAGTCCTTTGGGCAGAGTTTTAAAGTGGACGTGGCATGCTAAATTATTAGCAGACTGAGCATTTTGGTCCTCGAAATGCGTTGCTCGCAGATTCTTAGCCTTGACGGTAACCCGGTAGATCGTGGATGGCGCTAGCCCCGTGATCGTGTGTCTATACACGCCCGGCTTAACAGTTCTGACTTCAACATTGTTCACGCAGACTACATGCTGGTGATTGCTGTTGCTGGGTAACCAAGAGATGACGGCGCTAGTCGCGGTGACGTTGGATGCTTTCACGGCAGTCGGTCCCATCGCAACATCTTTCCCTATCACCATGGTGCATGCTGCATCTCGAGATGTCCTTCTCATGTGAGTTACTGAACGTACGCTAATTCTGTGTGGCTGCGGAATAAGAAAATCTATTACAATGTATACTCAAACAAGCGATGATTGTCAAAGTAATAACTAGATTGCAATGAATGGACTGACATGGATATGAAACATTTTCGAGAAAGTTATTACGGCATGACAAACACATACATACAGGACATCCAGCTTACATCTGGAATGTCTAATGTATCGTTTAAATGATATTTTGATGTTCTTAAATGATTCAATTTTTCCCTACAGGATCCTATTAATTATTTTCCTTATTATATATGCGCTAGAGAACGTCTATAATTCCTTGTAGATGTATATATTAAATATGGAAATACAACATCAATATTATTATTATATTCATTAGAAAAGGTAGGGGATAGAATGTAAATTACAAGTTTATTTGGCCTGTTCAAGTAGACGCTAACGAAGTACTGAAAACTGCGTTAATCTATCATGATTTTAAACACTTTAATAAGAATTGCGTGTAAACAAATTAGCATACGCACCCGAGTCGAATCAACACCCTCAACTAGAGCTCTGGTCCTCTCGGTGGCTTTTACGGTGACCTTTAGAACTCCATCCACGTAAACATGATAGGACTCCAGCTGACTGGGATTGTCAGGTGCCGTCCAGCCAATCAGGACGCTCTTGTTCAGCTGCCGTTCAAGCGTGAGATGCTGAGGCGCCGGTACTAGGTCCGAAAACAGGTAGACTTCTTCAGGAGGAAAAAGACAAGACAAGCCTAGCTGTAGCTACTTTGCCTTTTACTTCATTCTTTTCCTTTCCCAGAACGAGCCCAATTCAATTCGATTCAATCTGATGCAACAATGTCGAATGACGTCAACGATGTGTGTCATAAATGCGATAACTTGATATAAATTTCTTAAAAAAAAAAAAAAGAATTATAAGATGTATATTTTTCATACCGCCAGAAATTTGTGGTGCAAATTGAAAAGACGTATTTCACAACGTTACTAAAAAACGGTACTATAGGTATAGGCAATTGGGTTACCTCTTGAACAATTATACTCGAGGTTTGGTTTTCATGAAATAAAGTAACAAAGAATTGAACAATTCTGTTGCTGACGAGGAGCTCATTTAGTGTTTATCAGCGTGTGAAATATTGCAGACAATCAGTTTGATAGTAAATATTATTAACTTTAATGATAAGTATTACTGCCAATATTGCTGCTGTTCATTAAAATGGTCGCTAAACTTAAATGACAATCACCCGAATATGACTTTCAATTAAACCGCGGTTAGTTACGTTCCTGAAGGAAAAAAACGAGCTGCACTTTATGTACACAGAAAATACTGCTAATTACTTTGCAGTTCAGAGTTAAATTTTCTGGAAAGCAACTGCCTTGAAATATAAATCCATCGGTAACTAACATAGCTGACAATGCAGAAGCAGATTCTGTAATATTTCACGTTCTACTCTTTCAAATCGTTAATTAAGATGTACTGTTCTTTACTACGTATACTAGTAACAGCATTTAACTACTTTGTTCTACAATTTAAGACATAACTACTAGAGCCTTAGCTATAAAGGTTCGATGGATTCGAACACATCGAATTGATAGAATCTTCTGGGCAACTCGAAGGAACAAAATTCGTAAGAAGAGTATCATAAAACACGTAACTTATCACGAGACTTATAAAAGACGTCATAATCCGGAAGCCGTATCAGCGGAGGGTTGAAAAATAAGAATCCGGAGTGAATTGGGTACTCGACGGGTCAGATTTCTATAAAACACTTATACGCAATGCACGGTACAAGTTTACGATTCCCGACGTCCTTCTTCCTTCACAGCAAGACTAATCATGAGCTCTAATAAGCATACATTAAGTTGCAGCATTCACTTCTTCTTGAGAGAACTCAGAAGAGGTACCAACCTGGCGGTTCTTGCTCATCCTCTTCCGCTATGTTATCCAACTCCGCATAAGCAGATAGTTCGGCTTGACGATTGCGATTTCCTTCCTCTAGTGCTGCCAATTCCAAATCGATATCCTGTAGATAGCACTGTAAGTCATTTATGGATGGATTATTAATCTCCAGCGGATAAGAAGCTTGATTTAAACAGAATGAAATAAACGAAGCTCAACGGATATTCCACGGATCCAATTCTCCTGTAACGGAGTTTGAGTGAAAATTAGATACAGGTGCAAGTTAAACATTAAATCTTGATTTAAAAGGACATAACTAGTTCTACCTATTACACGTAGCTGATGTATTTAATGGATATGTTCTGTTGCCCAACTAACTACGTATGAAAATTCACTATTTAATACTATAGTTATGTTCAAACTAGATAATAATAGACATACATAAGGTGTCACTTAACGTGTTCTGTCGTATTTATAAGTTCGCCCTGGTGGAAAAATGGATTATAGTCTTGCTACAAACTCTGCAGAGAAAATCTCTCTTTTTCGATGAAATTTGTGTAAAATAACATTAAATTAATCTGTACATAGATGTAGTTAGAAATTTGATGGAATTTTATGTCGTGAAACGCTGCAACAGAGATCCAGACTACACTTGGCAACTTCTGTACGATTCGAATCGATTATTTTTTACGTTGTTGTATTATTTCGAAATTTCTGTTCCTGTTACTGATTTATTCTAACGAAATTTTTTGTAAATGCGTTAAAATATATACATATATTCAACGTTATTACTGAACATTTCGTAAAGCACAAATATTTGAAATGTTTTCAGAGAGAATGTGCCTATGTACTAGAATATTGGAATAGAGCTCACTTGAGGTATAGTTGTGGACGCTGCATCGTCAACGTCTCTGAGGCCGAGAACAGCCTGATGAAATTCAAGCAGATCGTCACCGACCAGTTTCTGCACAAAATTAGCGGGTAGGAGACCTCTTCTGCCATCGAGGGTCTCCGCATCCAAGAAACCATCCTCATCGGGCTGACCCCATACAAGTAGATAGTCTCCCCCTTGAACCGGCAGTTCCGCCTCCGGATTTTCATTAGGTGAATGCTGAGACGGTTCGTAGCTGAATCTAGCAATGTAAACGTAGCATCTGCCCTTTCCAGGAATATCCAACATGTCGACTTGGCCCTCCGGTACAACACCCTCGTTGGTCAGGCGATCCAAAGGATTGGTTAGAATGCCAGTTGGAATTTTTGGCATCTGCCTGGGGCCCAAGAAATGATGCCCCGTTGTCACATTAGCAGTTGGCGAGCTAACTCTCAGACTTTGTTGAATTTGTTGAATGATAGCTTGTTGTTGAAGCTGATTGGCTTGCGACTGGGCGGACAATTGTTGCATCGCTTGCAAGGGGTCTCCTATGGCTTGCAGGAGACCTCCAGACGTAGTCCCTGCAGCAAAAAGAACGCCGTTCAATCGACGAAGTGTTTTTATTACTCAATATTTCGTTACCAAAACAACATTAATGTGACGATTGGATAGTTTGCGTTATGCATCTCATTTTACCTGGAACGACGCCCGATGTGCCGAAAGCATTGGTCCCAACAGTCGAGTAAGTAGATCCAGTGGTGGAGAAGGTGCTCGGACAGCTCGAAAAAGGAAGCCCAGGTTGCGACACACTACTCAGAGCATTCAGTGTCGAATGAAAGCTTGGCGTTGAATATGGGGTTAACGATGATAACGTCGTCTGTGGTAGGTTTGTTTGAGGAACGGGATAGTTGTGATGTGCCAATTGCGTTCCGTAGCTTGTCACGACGGAGTTGTACGTTCCATTGGGATGCGTTGCTAATGGCAGGTTCGAGTATGTAGTTGTCTGTGAATTAATTAATTATTTAATCAATTAGTTGTCGATAGGCTGCCAAGTAAGAATTTATAATCGCGTCAGTGCTGAACCATCGCAGCTGCAGATTCTTCAACTGCGACCCAGTGTTGGCACTGAGCCCAAATGATAAGATCTGCCCAGCAAGCACTAAGCTAGCTTACTGGCCCTGATGCTACCATTGACAGTGGTGCCGACGGCTGACATGATTGGTAGCAAGATCGTTCGACAGTATCGGTACGGGAGGTATTAGGTGTGATTAGATGCTTGTGTGGATGACACTGATCAAATTTTACGACTGGACATGTACAGGGCCCGCATTTAACTAATTTCATTAGAGTAAGTTGACAGTGAACAATGGACCAACATTGGCCAAACTTTTCCTACATGGATTCTAAAAGCTGTTCAAGAACTACCTCGCCGAAAATTCGTCTCAATTTCTACATGAATAAGAAGAGAATTATGATTACTTTTAATGAATAATTGGGTACTCTCTATGAAGTACTCCTTCAGATTTAACTACTCTTTAAACCTGAATTTCTAAGAACGATAGCCGGATATTTTGTTGTAAATAATGAATAGTTATTTACAGCGCCAGAATGAATAGCTGCTAAACAGTTCTACTTGAATATTTAAGTTCACTATGCTACAAGCATTTCATGTTGAACAATTAAACTTAGCAACATCTCTGGTTGAGTTTAGAATGCTACCTAGTCTTGATAAGATTAATTGTGTGTATTTTCTACAAAAGTAACATAAATACGATTTGAACTTGCACGTCTTATTTGCAGTCCACCCTAACAGGTAAGAATACAATACTGCAATTTAAATATGATTTTAGAAACTTTTATACATTTTCTTATTCAAATCCTGAGCTTTCTAAAGGCCGCTTCACACATTTTATGTGTTCCTAAAAAGAAATATATTCTAAATCCACTTAGCAACGTATATTCTCTTCAACAATAGTTTATACTTACTTATAGGGTAACTCTAATAGTTAATGTAAAGGTTCCATAAAGCGCCTATAGGATGACGATGAACGAGTCGTGAACAATCAACGTGAACAACTTTGATTACGTTACTGATCCCTGTCATAAGACAAAGGTCGACAAGTCGGTTTACCTGCTGAGTTCCGTTCAATGAATAGTTTTGAGTGACCGGACCAGGTTGACTGTACTGCGTCACGCCACTTTGATTAACCGACGCCAAGTACGACGTCGAGGTCGGATGTTGCTGCTGATGGGAATGTAGGTGCTGTTGCTGCTGTTGTTGCATAGGCTGCTGATAAGTTTGCGTGCGGGTGTGTGGGTAACTCTCTTGGAACTGATTGGTCGGAAAGTGGGTGTGCGCTTGCTGTTGCTTCTGCTGCGGCGGTAGAGCACCTTGTGAGTGAGAACTGGACAACTCGTGTTGCTGTTGCTGCGGGTGATATTGTTGCAGTTTCTGTTGAAAGGCGGGTTGCGATTGGCTGGTGGATAATGAAGGCGCGGGTGGGATCGGTTCACTGAAATACGGTGGCCCGTTTGGGGTCAACGGAGGACAGCCGGGCATCATCGGCGTCAAGGGCATAGGCGAAGCCGCATACTGTAAGAAAAGATCAACGTGCTTCTGCTTTCACAATTGGAAGGAACGCTTTATGATAAAACACGAAAGTTTTCTGACGTTCCTTCGTGGATTTGAACGAATCCAGGTGGGAACGGATATCGACTTCCCTTCGTGCATGGAATTCTAATCCTTAAGTTGATTTACAAGAAAGTAAAGCAGTCTTGTTACAAGGTGCAGTCAAAAAGGAAGCGCGTATGTTTATCTTTTATATCAGGCAGCAGTGGTTTCATCGATCGATGCACGATGGAGCAGCAAACCACATTAAAAGCTACGATATCTTTGTACCGGCAGGAGTGATCGCGCCTACCTGAGCCGTTTGCGTTGGCATTCCAAGACTGAGTGCGTGGGGATGCTGGGGATGCTGGGGATGCTGCTGGTGCTGACTAAGATTTGGGAGATTTTCCGCACTGGATCGGAGAATATTTTGAGCGGCGGAGGGTTGCTGCGTTGTCACCGTCCCTCGCGTGTGGTCCAATTCGTGGATCATTCCAGCACTGGAGCCACGCGAACGCATTAAACACGTAATTTGTGTACATGTATCATATTCTCCTCTAAGTATCTATATGCATCGCGAAACAAACCCTGTCAAATGAAACAGTTCCCATCCGAGCTTACCTATTGTCCTGCTCAATCTTGGCAATAATTCTATCGATCTCCGAACCCGCGGGCGGCCACGTCGACGAAGGGATCGCCGTGGAGCCGGCATGGCCGCCGACGGTGGGTCCTCTGCTTCGGGCTCGTCTCAGGCTCGTCAACTCCAGGGATAGCTCCTCGTACTTCACGACCTGGAGCTCCGTTTTCTTCTCCAGTTCCCTAATTTTCGACTGCAACGCTTCCACCGACTCCGGACCCTGGTACCGACCCGCTAATTTCTCCCGCAGCTGGTTCTGCGCTTCCGCGTGTTGCCTTTCGAGCTCAGCGCGTCGTGCCTCCGCCTCCCGCATTTGCTGAAGAATAGCGTGTTAATTGAATAATCGTTAAAAGGACATCTAGCCATACCGATTCGGGACGTGCAAGTGGAGCAATAATTTCCTTTGCAGTAGGAATTTGTCATGCCCTTAATATCACCTTTAATATCATCTTAATACAGGCGCAAAAACGACGATAACTTGCACTCATCCGCTCTACCATCGTACCGCGTTCAACTAGATTCAGCTCGGGCAGAAAAATATTTCGTTGAATCCTCAACATTTTTATTGATTCTACTGTACAGTGTGGTTATCATATGGACTAAATATTTGATTGACATGACAAAATTCTTTGATTGGTAACTTTTGGTGGATTACATAAAATATTCTTGTACATCACGCCAAGTATTAAAGTAATTCGCTACATTTAATCAATTTTAATTTGTTGAATTGTGCAAATATTCGTGCAAATACTTTCTACAATTAACAAAACGATTTAACCGAAATGCTTTGGTCGTTTGACGCATACTAGTTTGGTTGAGTGAAATTAATATTCGGTTCACTTATCCAAAACGTTTACACCGCGATCCAAATGCAGTACATTGAATGAGTTTGTCTAATGAACCAAATTTTTCTTTTTTCTGCGTGCATTAATGGCAATCAGGTACATACTAAAAAATGTAGGCATTCCTTCGCGCGGATCGTTTTATCGTTGACTCGTAGTAACTGAACTCAACGTACCTCTAGAATGGACTCAAGTACCGGATCTTGCATGATGACGGTTCTTGCGGAGGTGGCTCCGAAAGCAGTTCCGGTACCCTGGAGCTGAGTAGCCTCAGGTACCGTAGAAGTGCCACCTCCGACGCCACAGCACTGCAACATTCACTCGGTTTCAGTCGATCTTTGCGTTATCGCGAGCGATACTATCGATCTAGCGGCTATCTCCTAATCGTATCGGTAACCCCTGGAAGCAGATACTTTCAATGTCGGGTTGATACCGATGGGCGGGAGGTAGTCGGTGGTTAGCGGTAAGAGGTAAGATATCCGAGAAGGCCTATCTTAATTAATTGCAGCCACTCGCGAGCAGCTGGCTTGGCAGTCCGTGATCGATTTGTAGAATCCTTCCGAAAAGGGAACTCCTCCAGGTCGGACTAAACGAGTTATCCATCTCTCACCCTTGGATCAAGTGAAAACTAAATCCTCCCCGAGGAAAGGGAAAGACTATCGAAGCTACATCGAGTTGCGATCACGACTCGATAACTTTCGTTCAGTGACTTTCGAGTTTCAGCGAGATCGGGGGAACGGAGGGTAACTTTACGCTTCGTTCGAAAGACAATATACGCACAAACGTGCGTGCTCATGCGTGCGTAGGGTGGCCACATAGAGTGCACTCGTTCTTGCTGCACGATTCCACCTAGCTGGACTATTTATAAAGGCTACATTACCCCACGGGAAGGTTTACGGATAACCACGCATATTTAACCCGATATGTTACCGATTGCACTTATCTCTATACGTACATATCGTTTATAATGCGGGTGACATTCAGTGCGAAAGCGTTGAAACATTACGTGCGATAAACTTGCTTCCACCTTCCAAGTAATGTGGCCATTGAAAAAGAATGGCTTAATTTGGCTAAACGAAGAGCATTAATCTACCAATCGATTCAGTTTTACACCTCATATATACATGCCACATTGATATCAATTAAAACCAATTTCTAAACGTTATCATTATATCACTAAAATGTACAAAAAGTATCCACGTATAATTGATAAACTTTAATAAAATGTCTTCAGCTCTCTACTTAAAGTACTTTTTACGTCACAAAAGAAATTGCTGGCCGGGGAACATCCGGGAGCCCGAGCTCGTACGGCACCTAATGGCATTAAATCAATTAACTATTGATTTCAACTAAACATCCATTTGTCTGCGTTTAATGCTCAATTTCATCGACCCAACCACTTTCTCCTTCGTTCTATTCGCGTCGGTCTTTTCCTGTACTACTTCCTCTGGATTCCAGAGAATCGGCACAAGGAGATCAGCAATTACGACAATCGATTTCACATCTCGTTGTAAATGCACGGGGCTTTGTCTTTTTTTTTTGCTCCATACTACGACGCAGTATCCAAACGTAACTAGGGACTTCGATCCGTGGCTAGTGCACCGAAGGGAGGAAGACCGAACGCGAAAAAGCAAAAATTAGGTGAAAGGACAGGAAGGGTCACGAGGGTGTGGACACGCTTGGGAGGGAAAAGGATGGACGTAGGCGGAATTCTAAGGAAAGCTTTCAAAGAGGGGCGTACCGGGATAGGGGGATGAAAAAGAGGAAGCGAATTAAGCGAGAGAGGAAGGAAGAAAACTCTGGAAAGACAAAGAAGTAATCGACGAAAAAAAGGATAATTAGGGGAATGCTGGGAAGTCGGTAAGAAGAAGGTAAAATTGCCACCGATCGTTTCGTTACCCACTTTGTCCTTCCTTCTCTAGTGTCGAGATCCACCGACGAATATGAGGGAAACGGAGTTCAAGTGGTTCGCGAAGGCCACCCTCGACTCAAAGTGAAAATTCTCCGAAATTCTTTAAGAAGGCGATTAGAGCAGCTGGGTATACGCCATTTTCGATAGAAGATGATACAGAGATGTACCCACGCAAAGAAAAAAGACGACGAAAAGGTCGAAGGTGACGCGCTCCAAAGTATTCCCCATTAAGCGAGCCACGCGAAAGATGACGCGATGTATTGGCAGAACTCGTGCTAATTCACGCAAGAACCAGATATCGAATGTCGTGGGGTTTCGAGATACAAAAAATATCGAGCGGATGCGTCCACAATGATTAGATCACCCGATAAGTCATTGAGATTCACCGAACCCCGTAGTCCCGTACGCGATATTTCAGGAAAAATTGGAAAATGGAAACCTTCCCGAGTTACTCGTGAACTCTGCGAGACCAGAAGCCTTGCTATTTCCGCGGATAAACAAAAAGGAACGTTAAGTTCCAAAGGGGAAAAAAAAACGAAACGTAATTCACGGAAAATCTCGGCCGGGTGGAATACCTGAGCGCCGAGTTTGTTCATGTCGAAGTGGACGAACGCTTCACGAAGAAGGACGAATTCGAGTCGCAGAGGAGGGCGGGACGACGATTCGACCGATCCACGAGACCTGGAGGGTCCGCAAGACACGAGAATTCACAGCACCAGAGATTAGGCTTCCGCGACATTTCTCGGCAAGACGTCCCCCGGGGCGACGTTTCGCACGGGTCGAAAGGGTCGCGAGAAACGTGCAATTCACGAAAGGGCTGACGCGAAGGTCGCGCGGTGCTTGGGACGGAGAGAACTCGCCCGAGCGATCGAACGTCGACGGCGAGAAGCCGCATGGGCGACCCGGACGGCCCGGGACGCAAGAGTTGGGACGAGCACGTCCCGAGAACACTTAGGGTTGAGGCGCGACGTCCTCCGGTGCACGAGTCGAACGCGAACGACATCGGACCGGGTTTCCCCGTTCCTCGTCACTTTTCCGGGCAAGCGATCGAACCTCTAGCGCACTTAGGTACAACCTACCGGATTGATCCGTAACGATTCGATCGGCCGATAGAACATCGGCGCCGAGGAACATCGATGAGCACCGCGCGAGGAAAAATGAGAGGCTCCGAAGCGAACCGTAGGAGCGGTCCCTCGCGAGTCCCTTTAACTCCTCGGCTCCGCCGACGGGCCTCCCTCTTCGTCGCTGCGCGCGAGAAGCGTCGCGACGCCGAGCATCGCTTCGGGCCAACGCGACTTCCGTGATTTTCTTCCCCGCGTTCCCGAGCCGGTCCGTGCCCGTCTCCCGTGGCCGCCCCCGCCCTCGACTTCTCGGGGAATAAATTTCTCGACTCGGCGCGCCACGGACGAGGCGAGTCGAGCTCTCGCGGCCCGCGCGTCCGGCGAGCCTCGCGGGGCCCTGAGTTGCGGAGGTACGGCACTGCTTATCGATCACCACCAACAGCGCCCCCTGTACGTGCACGACACAACGTCACCGCCTCCGCCACCTCCACCGCCAACGGTACCGCGGCCACCGCCGCCGAGGGCGGAAGGCGCGCGCCGACCCGGGACGCCTCGAGGTCGCCGAAGAGGCTCGAGCCCCTCTCGGGACCCGATCGTCGGATCCCGGGGGGCTCCCTCGACCGAGGGGGAGGTCTCGCCCGTCGACTTACGATGGCCGAGTCGAAGGCGAAGGGGTTGCGGCAGGCCAGGGCTGCGGGTCCCGATGATCGGGGCGCTCCGAATCGGGGCGGATCGACGCGATTCTTCACTGGGCTATCATCCCGCGCCACCGGAAGATCTCTCGCTTGCCAGAAGGCAGGGCTGTCGAGCTGGTGGGAGGTGAAAGGCCACGGGCCAGGGCAGGGGCGCGGGAGGGGCGCCAGGGGAGTCGCGAGAGCGGCGTAGGGGACAGTAGGGGATGTCGGAAGCAGATATGGGTCACTCTTGGATCGATGACGGCTACACTACGGGGGTATAGCTTTCACAAAAAACCAATCAATACGCGCGGCAATCTCCGATATCGCGCCAGCTTCGCTGCTTACTCTCTCTCTCTCTCTCTTTCTCCCCCCCCTTCTCTTTCTTTCTCGCGCTCGCTCCCACCTTCTCTCTCCCCCGGCTCTTGTACCCGTCCGCGACGCCGCGATCGGTAAGCGGCTGACCACCGTCGTCCTCTTGATCGTATGTATCGGCAGCCTCGGTGGAGCAATCGTGCGCGTACTCGCGATCGAGTGCGCGGGGAGAGCGCCCCTTTGACCTAGTGGGAGGCGATTCGCGCCGAGCCGGAGGCCGGCGCGAGAACGATCGGGAAAATCGCGGCGACGTCGACGCCGCTTACCGTTCACCGGTGAATGCCGGGAGCGATCGCAGCGCCGCCGCGCGGCGAGCGACGCGCGCCGCCTCGGGGCGAGGAGGCGGCACGCCGTCGGATTAAAACCGATACTCGGAAATCATGGCCGAACGCTCCGGGGCGCAGGCGCCGGCGACGTCGATGCAACGTGACGTCACGTTTTATTCGTAGAGAACCACCCGTCGGGTGTCGGGCGTACGCGCTTATCAATGAACGTACGACGCCTCCGGCGGACCTGGTCTCCGACACCGAACACCCTCCGGCCTTCCCCCGACCACCCGACGCAGATACCGTACGCCGTCCCGTGCGGACCCGCCGCTACCTACCGGTCCTTTGCCGGATTCAACCCCCTTCGTGCGCCGGCGCTGCTTCTTCTCCCCTCTCCCACCACGAGTCCTACTCTTAAGGCTTGACTCTAAACGCCCGCGTTCTAAACGGAACGCTCCGCACTAAACGCTCGATGCTCGATGCACCTGCGATTTAAGGGGGTGCGATACCTTTCAACGCGAACGAGTCGATCTTTCTTCGTCATTAAGTGTCCTGAGGATAAAAATAATTCTACTAATTTGAGATTTTTTAAATCTTATTCTTTGTTCTCTCGCTAATCGTTTGTTACGGGTTTTAGGAAGAATGATCAAATGTGGTACGGTAAATAATGTAAAGCAATAGCTTCTACGTTTTTAGTTATAGTTGAACAATGTTCGACTTGCTGACAATTTGAAGAATGAAATCGATATGGATTCATTAATTAGAAGAGTAGCGGGAAGAGAGAAAGGAAAATTTTTATTTTTTTTTCGTTTCATTAAAAACTAAAGAGAACAAACATAGGCTTTTCTGCGTCGAAAAAAAAATATATTTCCGGAGAGTCTTCTTTTTCAAAAGTTTTCTTTTCAACCTGCTGTAAATAACTTTTGTAAGTGAAGGTAAAATCATTTTGAGGGAAATCGTTAAAGTTCTTTTCGAGACTTTGTGATTCAAAAATCTCGTTTTCAAATAGAAATTTTCTTCTCGTATTCCTCGTTTTAATTTTAACTACGACAGTTTATTTAACTCCTGCGTCCTACAATTGATCCTCCTGTATAGCATTAGAGGCCTTAGATAATTGTTGGGGTCTTTGGAGCTCTGTTCGAGTTTCCTTTGAGTAAAATGATGCGCGAGGACCCTCGATCGCAATCGTGCGTTTGTTCGTTCTTAGGAATTCGTTTGTCATTGAAAATTCAGTCCGTGAATTGTTGGAATTTTTGAACGGTGCTTCAAATACTCAGAAGATACATAAGTATTGGAATGTGTGAAATACTTTGTACCTTTTAAATCTATTTAATTGACTCGACCGACCCATTTTGAAAATCTATTATTTTAGGTTCATGTGACCGAGTACAGATTTCTTGGTAGAACAATTCAAACAAATTTACAAATTCATTGGGAAAAATTGAAAAATGTGCGAATACCGAATTATTCAAATACGGAATAGCAAATAGTTGTTCAGCAGTTAATATTGTCTGTTATTATGTACTTAAAATTAACGCAATTTTTTAAAAATGACCGTTTATATTATCTTACATTTTATACGAATGTATTTTTTAATACATTCGTATAAAATGAAAAGGAAATGTTTGCTCTGCGGTCTCCAGCTTCCCTTAAGTTGCTTCCGTACGCCGAACTTTCTATATTATGCAACAACATTACCACAGGTATGTTTGTATGTGTTATATAGTCATACATGGTTGCATTCTGGCATTCTACACTTCGCGTACAAGTGAGGAACATGCAGTGTAACCGGTTCGAGAAACTCTTGGATTACGAGATCGGCGGTTCTCTCGTAAATAGCTGGAGCATTCGCTGTCTCGGTTTACAGTAATGTGGATCGTTTACCTTAAAAACGATTACCCTTAGACAAGTAGGTATAAAGCGTCGTGTTATCATCTTTTCACATTGCGTTTTATTTACTCGAGAAGTGTTTCTACCTTTACCGGCAAGAATGTGGGGACTGTGAAATGGAACTGCAGTTACATTAATATCAAACGTAAATACAAAATAATTTTTGTAAATATTTATAAGTAATTTAGCTGTATGAATGTTTCTAATATGGATATACTATATTAATTTATTTGGATTCATCGAACGGATTTGGATAGATTCCATAACAGAACGTCTATTAACGATAAACATTCACTCTTTTAACTGAATAATACACATTTTTAGTGCAGATTTTCCTAATTTTATGCACGAGTTTTCAGAACACAATGAAAGGAAATAAATGACCCGTTCAATAATGTCCACTCAATCAATGTATTTATCTCCTTTATTTCTTAACATTTTCTTTCGAAGCGATGAAAAAATGATCTCTATCTCTCATCGTACGTTTCGTCATATTCTCTTTCACTAAAATCACCCTGTGCACATTTTTCGTTTTTCAATTGACACGGTCTACCAATTGAATGGACATCGAGCAATCGATATGACTTCAATCTCCGCTAGGCTTGACGTTACCATAAGTTTAAGAATTTCTCTCGTATCTATTGGTCCCGTCGAAATCTTATTTCTTTGTTCATACGATTAGTAAGTGACAATCCATCAAAGCTCTATCGATATCTCGAAAAAATGGACCTCTCATAAAACTTGTCCTATTTTCTCTGTAAGTCTCCGAAAATCCCTTATTTATTATATTCAACCAAGTTAACTTTTATCAGCATACAACAATTTTTTCACAACTGATCTTTTTACAACTAAAACAGTATGTAAGCGGACACTATGTATTCAAAACATGTAAAACAAAATGCATTTTTTATTAAATATCGTCACAAAATGTATCGTTAAAAATATTTGAAGGCCTCCAAAAGGAAAATTACAGTTTAATATATCTCTACTTGGATCTGATTTAAGCGGGCTTCGATTAAATAGACTCTCAAAAAATATTTTAGGAACCTATGTAAGGAAATTTTAATTTAAAGAAATACAATTCAAGTTTTATGGACATTGTATAAGATATATTTTAGTTATTTGTATTGTAACTTGGAGATGGAGTGATTAAAACTCAATGTAATGTTCGCATGTAAATATAATTGATTAATGTACTTTCGTTCAACAGTTTATATTCTTTAAGTGATAACGAAGGATATCTCCAATGCTGACCTGGTCCAGTTTTAATCGTTTTCAATCGGCACCAAATTTTTCCTTAAGTTCACCTTTGCCGATCAAACATAAGCTCCACCTGTCAGATCAAGAACAATAAAGTATTGGCAATTCCTCTTTGAAGGCGCATAACGAACGGAAGCGTAGAGGCCAATTGTCGTGTGAAATCGGATGTTGCTTACGAATATTCATTCAAATTGTACATCGAGGATCAGTTATAACTTACAAGACCGCGGCACATGACGATTACTTTATCGACGACATCGCCCAATCGTCTGGTTTTCGTTCCGTTATTCGCAAACATTCTGAAGTTAACATCACTGAAGAGCGGGTAAGATTAATAAATAAAAATATTTTATTTATGATTTACAATCAAATCGAAGGTATAATGGTATCATAACAACTTATTCATTTAAGATATGATATTGCAATGGCGAAGAACATATTGATTCCTCAATATTTATTATGGTATAGGATGAAACTCGGACATTCGATAGAGGATTCACGGAGCAAATGTCCTGAACTAACAGAGAATATTCTTAAACAACTAAATGATTGGGCGGAAGAACATAATCTCCCGTGCATTCCTGTGGAACAATTAGCACTTTTCTTGCACAGTTGTTATTTTGATAAGGAAGATACTATAAAGTGTATGACGGTTTACTATAAAATGAGGACCACCGTTCCCGAATTCTTCAGCAATAGGGATCCAAGATCGGAATATCTCCAGCATTCCCTCAAAGCGCTGTACGTACTAAAAATGTATTGTAACAATTTCGCTGTACTAACTTAAAATCGAAAACGATAACGAAAATGTCTCCGCTTTTCGATTTCTTGGGTTATCCTTATATTTACATCATTGAGCGATGTAGAGCTCTTTTATGTCCGCTTTCTTCCATTTTTTCTCTCTTTTAACAGAAAGAAATCGTACATTAATATGTGACAGATTTTGCACGATATGAAAAGAGAAGTATCTGAGGGGTTTTCGGGTGTGGATTCGACCAAAGGAATTCGGTCATTAGAGCTTGTATAGATTTTTGTAAATAATTTCAGGCAGTTCTTCACTCTTCCTGTGCCTGATGAAAATGGGCATAGGATTATTTTTCATCGACTGGCGGATACACGACCGAGTCAGTACATGTTCAATGATGGCATCAAGTTACTTCTCATGACTTTGGACGCCAGTCTTTATACAGAAGGATGCTCCCCTGGTTATATTTTCCTTTTTGACATGCAGGGAGTCAAACTTGGACATTTGACAAGACTATCGATTTCAAGCATAAGAAAGTTCTTTGAGTACATCCAGGAAGGACTTCCGGTACGTCTTAAAGCTATTCACGTTCTGAACGCGGTGTGGTTCATGGAAAAAGTCCTCGCACTGATCAGACCATTTATGAAAATGGAGCTTTTAGAAATGGTGAGCTTGTACTTAAATACGATTAAAGTTATATGTACTTTCAGTTAAATCATATTTTTAATAAACGCAAATTCAGGAATTTTTTTAGCTAGTATTTAATCAAACCTTTCTTACATACTACCTGCGAATAACGTAATTGCTAAATAATATACGTCGTGACTTGAGAGTCGTTTTTTGAAAATAGAGAAATACTTTGATAAGTAATTTATTTCTTTACTTCTGACAGCTTCACTTACACACAGAAGATGTGTCGGAGATTCATCAATACATACCGAAGGAATGCTTACCTGAAGACTTTGGCGGTACATTAGATAGTACAGAGGTTCTTCATGGTACGTATTTTCAATTTAAATGATAGTTTATACTGCGATGAACACGTTTTAAAACGATAAAAAGTAAGAATCGAATTGTTTAGTTAGCTGCAAAATTGCAGAAATTCATAATGGTCATCTAATTTCATGTAATTTCCATTTTCAGAAGCCCACTGTTCGAAACTTGATCAACTGCGTGATTATTTTCTCGAGGAGGAGGATTTATTCCGTGACTGGTGTGCGTACTCAAAAGTATCATCTCTTTCCTCTTCTTGCTTGTCATCCGTCAGTAACCCAGAAATTGCAGTACCAGTAGAAAATGAAAATGGTATTAATAATACCTGACATTTGTCTCTGACTTCGTTATCTATTTTTCAAGGATTATTTAGTAATACAGACGTTTACTTATCTATGAAATAAAACGGCGCAATTGAACGAAGTGAAGAATTTCACATCATCTAGATGCGTGCATTAAAAATATGAGAAAATAATCGGAAATTATGCAAGTGTTTCAAAAGAAGGAAGCATTAGAATAGATGCGAAGACCATTAATATGTTTATATTCAATCAGGAAAATTATCTTAATCAATACTAATTTCTATTATCTTTAAGTTTATTGTTCGATTTATTTTAAAACATGTGTAAATCAAGAAACTCGTAGCGTTGAGCGATGCG